CCTGGGGCGATGGGGACGGAGGGGACCCTGGGGTCCTAGGACCGACCGAGGGCTGCCTGAGCGCCTGTTTCCCCTGGGTCGTCCTGCGGTGTGCGTGCGTGCGGGAGAAAGTCGTCGCTGGGAGGGGCGTGAAGGAAAGGTGGGCTTCGCGGGAAGAAGAGTCCCGCCCCGGGCCTGGTGCGGAGCGGGGTGTGCCGCCTAGAGGGGTCCCTGTGTCTGCCTGACCTTCCTGCGCTGTGGGAGGCGCGGCGGGGCCGGTGGCTGAGACGGTGGGCCTCCCCAGCCTTCTAACCTAGGTCCCACTTCCCCCACTATTCTCTCTGCCCTCTGCCACCTCTTTTCCTCACTAGAATGTTTACTCCATGGAACATGGGATGCTGTCGTTGCCCCCCGCCCCCAGTGCCCAGAACAGGGCCTGACGCTGGGGTATTTACAGGAAAACCCATGGCTCTGAAATTATGCAGCTCTCAGAGTGCACCTGGCACTCCTCCTCTGGCGAAAACAGCAAGCTTGTGGCTTCATGACTAACCTTATAGGTCCACCTCAGACTTTATGGTCAACTATCTCTTCCCTCAAATTATTATTATTGGTAATTAGGTTTTAAAGGTGTGTATTATAAATATTTGCTTTCTGAATATTTTAGTCGCAATTGACCAAAATAGGGTGGGGTTCTTTACATTCTTGTGACTACTAACTGTGTCACCTTCTGAGCCTAATTCATGGTCACTGAAGCATGGCATTTGAGTGATGAAAAACAGGACTGGGATAATGCCCAATCCCTGTCCCAAGAAGGACTTAATTAGAGCATGTGTAGAATCAAAAAGCTGTAAACACTTACACCCTTAACCCGCAGACATGGAAACAGTGGGCCACTGAGGCTGAGCCCTCTGTGCTGTTACACACAGCATCTTGTGGCCCACCTAGACCAAACCTGAATCTGGTCCCGTGTGAGAGTCTCGGTACTAGAGTCTGGGGTGTCTGCGTAAGGAAACATAGCCACCCTCTTAAAACTGGAGAAAGAACATCTTTTAGGTAAATAAAATGTTTCTAACTTAAACAGGATGGAAAAAATTGATATGACTCATGACCCCAAGATATGACAGTAAGCAAAGAATCTTTTGATAAATCAAAGGATCAGTAGATTTGAAACACACTTTTATTTAAAATTAGGACTATTAGATTACTGACATTTAGAAATGGGAAGAAAGGAGCTAAAGGTGTAGGGAAGGTGGGATGGGTAGGGGAAGGGTAATAAGGGAAAAGAAAAAAATGTGAGATAATGAAAAGATGAAAATAAAGTGCTTGTAGATGGGGAGGGGAGGAGGGGGTGAAGGGAGGGCAGAGGTAAGGGGAAAAAATGAGAATCAAGACTTGTCATGTAGAGCTACAAGATCCCAACAATGAATGTAACTGTACTGTATCCCTAAAATGTACCAATAAACTCAATTAAAGCTGAAAAAAATAAAATAAAATTAGGACTATTAAGGTTGTATTCTAACGAGTGGGGATAAAAACAGCCCTAATTTCCTCACAACTGTTCTTGAAGTTTTTGTAGATATAACAAACACCCGAGAGACCTACAAGATACAGATATCTGGGCTCTGAATTCCCTTGCTCATTATTTTAAGCAGTTATCCCAGGGGCTTCATAAGCAGATCACTGCTACCAAAAAGGGCAGAGACCTAAAATAGCTTTGGAAACACTAAGTGAGTAATAAACATTAAAATTACACCAAAAGCTCTCCCTAGATTTTCCTACATATTCAGATTGCAATTCCTTATTCACTTCCTAAGTTGTAGATAACTTTTTACATTCTAATGTTTGGAGAAAAGACTTTTTTGTCTGGGAGAAAGTTTAGATAAATCAGATATGTAAAATTAATAGGGCTATTTCATGAATATTTTCATTGATCACCCACAGCCTCAGTATTCAAAGTTTTTCAAATTTTAGGACATAGTGAAAGGGTTAACACTCTCTGATATAACTAGTCACTCAACAACCAGCTAAGCAAGACACAAATTAGGTAAACAAACACAGTGGTGGCCCCGGTACTGTCTCTGGCCTGGCTGAATTTGAATCCAGCTCCATCCATTGTTTACTACCTTCATGACCCCTGACAAAATATTCAGCCTCTGTAGAAGTCTTGAGTTCTTTGTCTGTAAAATTGGTGTAATGATAGCACTTGCTTTTAGGATTGTTGTGTGTATTAAAATACTCCGAGCAGTGCATGTCAAATGATGACTTGATGTTTGCTAATTAGTAGTACAGCCCCTCACACTTACTCTCAAGGACAATTCTGAGTTCTGTTGGGCTTTTCCAGAGAATGGCCATAAAAATATGCCTCAAAATCGTCCAACTGCAGGAAACTGATCAGTTCTACTCTAGGGCTCTTTTTAATAATGCATCCAGCTGGATGCTGTCAAATTTGGCTCTTAGGCGACTCTTGGCCTTGGACTATTTTAAAAGGCCCAAGTGACTGGCACTGGGGAAGCAATCTCATTTTCCCTACGTAGTTCTATAAGGATAGGAAGGAAAGGGTTAAGGGAAGCTGAAAAAGCTCTCCCCTTGAGGATGTCTACAACAATCGCAGGGGAAGGACTCAGGAGGAAGCTGGGGGTGGGGTTATGGGGCCCGGGCTGTGAAAATCATTAGAGGAGCCCAGAGCCTTGGTTCTCTCCTTGCAGGAGCACACGGACTGAGACCCACAGGGCAAGAGGGCCCTTTTGTTTAGAAGTTTATTTTGAACTTTGAGACTCCAGATGGAGATAAACACTTTCCACTAGGAAACAGGCAAATTCTCCCATTTGTTGGAAGACCAGGTGGCAAAACCATTAGGAGACAAATTCTCTACCTTCTTTGAGGGGAAAGAGGAAGCCTTTCGGGGCCAGCTTCACTCATGGCCAAGCCGTGTCCTGCCCGGTTGCTGCTAGGTTGTGCCCTGTCCCTCTCCTCTCCACGAGGTTGCTGGTCCCTCCTAGCTGACTTCCTGTTGTCTCCTGCTCTTCTGCTCACTTTTTGCCCACTTGCATTGCTGTTGCTGCCTGGTGCAGCCTTGGGGCCTAGCTTTGCTCTCCTCCTGTCCTGCTTCCTCCCACGCTTCGCTGCCTCATCAGCTGCCTCTCGTCCTGCTCCCATGATGCTCCTGCTCACAGCACGCTCTCATCACCCCGATGTTCACGCACTCCTCCTCGGCTGGCTATCGGGGCGGGGATGGGGAGTGGTGCTTGTGAGCCCCCGTGTGTCATCTCTGCACTATTGGAATTCCTCACCAAGGGGTACTTCCATTTTTGCTTTTGAAAAAATATTGAGCTAACACCATAAGATGGATAGACACATGGCGGAATATGACATATGGTTAAATAAGAGAGGAGGATAGAAGAAAAATACAATCAGTATGTTCTCTAGGATAACTTATGTAAATGGATGCACACACACATATAACAAATAATACTATCTATGCAATACACCTGATACAGCATACAAAATAATGAAATCATTTTTCTCACAAACGGGACCCCACATAGATACCATTTGTGTAAATGTCCCTCTGTACTTGGTAGCTCCACTTCTACTGATTCAGCCAAGTAGATATTGAAAAAAACTTGAAAAATATTGCATCCGTCCTGAACAAGTATGGACTTTGTCCCTTGTCATCACTCCTTAAGCAATATAGTAAAACAGCAATTTACATAGCATTAACAGTGTGCTCAGTATTGTAGGTATCCCAGAGATGATTGAAGGTATCTGTGACGGAGTACACAGGTGATATACAAACATTGTACCCTTTTTATAAGGTACTTAAGTCTGGGTGGATTTGGGTGCCCGATGGGAGTCCGGAACCCATCCCCTGCTGATGCTGAGGGGTGACCGTCTAGAATACACAGCGAGAGTCCCTGATGAACACATCTCCCTTTACCAGGCCCTTGGATCGAGGTGACTTCCTGGGCTCTGTCTGCAGGTTTAACAAAATCACTTTTACAAGGACAAGATTGGAGTGATGTTGGCAGACATTTGAGGAAGGACTATGGTATTCCTTCATTTTTTCGTTCATTCATTTGTTTATCCAGCAGCCTTTGATTGAGCATTTACTCTGTGCCAGGCACTGTGCTACGATGTGTGCAGAAGGGGACAGCATATTGATGAGCACACAGACTTATGATTACCATCTGTGCCACAAATGCAAAGAGACAGACAGAGGCTCAGAGGAGACTACTGACCCTGAAAAGGTGATGTGTGAGCTCATACTGATGAAGGAGAAAGAGCAGTCATTTTCAGAATTGGCCTGGGGTGAGGGAGCAGGAAAGGGAGCACAGAGCTAAGGAGCAAAAGAAAGAGTCACAACCCAGAGCGACGGTGAGATCTGACGCCCTGGACGATGGTGTGGAAGATGGTTTTAGAAAGCCACACTTAGGAGGCTTGGGCTGGTTCTGTGGGCTGGGAGGTCCGGGATTGTGGTTATCCTATCCCAGTGAGCAAGCGGAGA